TTTTTGTAACTGTTTTCATAGCTGACCCCTCGAAAGGTCTAAAATGAAGTAAGCAGCTTCCAAATGATTGAACAAAGCAGCTCTGTTGAATTGACACCATTTTAGACCTTCTCAATACCCACTCCATCTCTTTCCCTTTGGCCTCCACGATCCATAGCTTTCTCTCTGCAACCTGAAAAACATAAAAGTTACAAATATACAAATAAACTATGTAAATAGTTGTATATATATATATATGATGACAATGTGGAACCACATAACACCCAGCAACAACACTCTGAAGATCTCGAAAAATAGCCAAGGTGTTGTTGACCCATGTTGAAGCCTGTCTAAAGTTGCACAACTGGTTTGACTCCCACTGGCCTTCCCCCGTCTTCTCACTGGAGCAGGAATCATTTCTGCCAGGCGTTCCTGGCAACAATTGGAAGCTCTTCAAGGTTGGTACAGGTTGGAGGTTGAAGGTTAAACATACATATATATGATATTGATCAATATCTGGCTGGATTATGCTGGGTTGTCATTTTGCACCTGTTCATGGGTGTCTTGTCCAGCTAGCGTGCACTACCCTGAAAGCTGCACTACCCTAAAAACAGATTTGGTAATGCAGCCCAGCAAGCTAAATCAAATTCACACTCGAGGTCATGTGAGCATATCACATGTCGTTTACATGGGGCTATATAGTCACCAACGGCATCTCACAATGGCAAGACTATTGCAAAGCCTATGGCTTTCATTGTGGCAAAGCTCGCTTCAAGCGAGCTTGCCTGAGGTGGTCTTCAATCCAGGCGGTTTCCCAAAGCCGGAACACCGCACTCACAAATCCTGCTGGATAATGCACTGACCCTGCCAAGTCGGGGCCACCATGATAGCCACCATTTTTGTCCTTCACGTAGTATACAGGCAAAGTGCCCCCACGAGACAAGATTCTCTCCTTTTTTTTCTCAATCCTTGTCTGGAAGCGCCTTTTGTTTTTGGCATTCATTGTCCTTGCCAAGCGGCTGCCCCTGCGAACGTTCAGCCATAGGTGCGTGGCTTTTTCCAAATCATGTCCATACAGTCCTAGGTACGTCAGTACCTTTCGCAAGTTCAGCTTGCTTATGATGGCAGCAAAATCGACTTGCTTGAACATGTACGATGAAATTGGTTGCTCCAATACCAGCTTGATGTCTGGGCGGAAAATCTCCACCAAATTGAGAATGACAACCTGGGCGCTTTACATAAACTGGAGTCTTTTGGCACAAATGCAATGAACATAAACGCAACCAAACAGTACCTGAGCAAAAGAACAAGCAAAAAGGGCATACAAAGATACACAGAGACAAGAGGCAAAGTTGTCCACAATCAAATTCGAAAGCCGAACCTTGAAGCAGTTCAAATTGCCTCGCAAATTGTCAGCCTCACTGGCACATACTAGCAACAAAAAGCACACGCCCTTTGTATTCTTGAGCATTCTTGAAGTTTCTTTGACGTGTAACCAAATCCTAAGGGAGCTTAGGAACGCTACGCTGGTGCACTGACTGGCTGATGGATACGTACAGCGAGCAAGGGGGTCCAGCTGGAAGCAAGCCGCCAAAGACCAGCCTGGAGACAAAAGGGAGGTGGCTAATCACCCTGCATGCACCCTGCATGTGTGGGTCTGACTTGAATAGAACCTTATATCGAAAAAATAAACATTAACACTCAAGACAAATCATTCTAGACCCTGAGCGCTTCGCATAAACATTCAAGTCAACCAAACATATCCAAACAAACGACTTCCTTGTGCGCCCTTTTGCATCCCTTTTGTAGGGTCTAATATGAATATCCCCAAGCATCACCGTGGTGTGAGCTGCAAAAAATGAGAAGAACTCTACTTTGGACCCATTTCCAAATGAGAAGAACTTTACTTTGGACCTATTTCCTTATGTGTGATTACTCCCCTAGCTGCTGTGGGCAAGACGAACTGGAATTTAAAGCAATTCTTCCTTAGACCTTGGACTTCCCTACCTTCTGAATCCTTCTGATACCTTCTGTACCTTCAATAATGCTTTGGGACAAGGTTCGACAAGATCATCTCCAATAGGAGCATGAAGCCACACTTGGACGTAAGATCCTGGTGCAATATTGCAGGAGTCAAGCCAGCCAAAACAACATTCAACAACACAATCTGCCTGAGTAGCATCTCGCTGGATGTCGAATGAAGCTGCCATGTATCCCTGCCGCATGAACTTCTTCCTTGCTGAGCAAGAGATAACACTGAGTGAAATTACATCGGAAGTGTGGGGGATTGTCGCTCATCACTTCATTCCTCTCCGACATGCGGCCTAGTCACTCGAACATGCAGCTCGCACCAAAAGCTTCCACGCAATAATAGCATGCCTTTCCATTCCAACTAGAGCAGAAGTCCTTCAACATCTGGAAGTGATCTTTGGCGTGGAACCACTCTGACTCTACACACTGGGAAGAGACATCTTCGGCGCGCTTGGGCTTCGGCATGGTCGGGTTCGAACGATCCGGAAAATGCGACAAAAGAAAAGTCTGGCAACACCACGCAACGCCTGCAATACTAGATGGCTGCGAACATTGGGGCTCAAGTCGCATCGAAAAACACTATAAACCGTCCAACCCAATTTGTGCAAAGCAAACATGTCGGCAACGGTTCCCATAGCATCTCTGACCCTTCAAAAAGGATTGAAAGTGTCTAAAATGAAGTAAGCAGCTTCCAAATGAGTGAACAAAGCAGCTCTGTTGAATTGACATCATTTTAGACCTTCACTATACCCACTCTGTCTCTGTCCTCATCGATCAAACGAATTCAAATTAACACTCGAGATCATGTGAGCATATCACACGTCGTTTATGTATGTTGATGTGGGCTGATGTGGGGCAATAAAGTCGCCAACAGCGTCTTGGCAAAGCAAACATGTCGGCAAACACCTGCCGATTCTAGTCGTGATGAAGCTGCGACTTCTCCTGGACTCACGACAAAGCCAACCCTGGCTGGCACAACACATGAAGCAACACGGTGGCTCCTGTCAAGCCGGAATCTTCCACTTGTCCTTCCGCCTTGCAAACATAATGACCCAAGCACGGCACAAACCCAAATGCAGGACTCAGTTTGCAACAAAAGCCATGCCTCAAGCTTTTGTGTCCGCTTCATTTTCAGGCTCAATGCCCAATTCGTCCGGTCCTAAAGTCACTTGAAGATCTTGAAGGCCACATGTTGCATGTAGCTTCTTCATGCTTCTTCAAGAAACTGCCAGTTATTTCCAATCTACAAAGCGCCAAAAAGGAAAGGACAGGGAACACACAGCCAAGATGCTTTCACGGCTGGAATGACATGGTAGTAATGCCATTCATCAGGAAATCCATCCCTCAGTCAAACACTTGGCAGCCAAACATAGCAAACCCCTTTTATCCACTGACAGGGCAAGCCCTTACAATTAATTGAAGAAGCCCCATCCAAATCCATGGGGGAAAACACGCTCTCTTCCACAACAAGGGTCTAAACTGAATAGACTGCTGCAAAAACAATGCTTGCACGTTTTTAACGCAAAGACATATCATTCTAGACCCTATCAAGTGGGAAACAAAATTTAAGTTTGAACACATTTGATTCGAGATCGCTCTAGCCTAAGAATAAGGCAAAGTCTACAGATGTTGGACTCCAGCATAGAGGTCTATTGTCAAATCCTGCAACACTGCTTGTTGGAATTCCCTTGTGGTAAGGCTGACAAACGATTCTAGACCCTCGGTCCCAATGAATTATGTATTGAATAGCAATGCGTGAGGTCTAGCTGCGCATTCAAGTTCGGAATCAATGTGTTTCAAGAAAAAAACACGTAAGACCCCCTGTATTGGAGCAAAGCTGCGAGAAAGCTTCGTGTGCACTTTTGCGCGCTTTTCCCGTGACCGGATGGATGACTGTGGCTCCACATTTGCCTTATTTGCGCAGACTTAATCACGGCACGGCCTTTGCTGCTCAAGTGAACGACAAAATGAAAAATCTCAACATTCGAATATCCAGATCCGAAAATTGAAGTTCGAGATTTGAAATCCAAAATCTGAGATTAGAATTGAAACCCAAGATTTGAACTCCCAGGCTCAAGTTTCAAAATCCAAGATTGGAGATTCGGAATTCTAAAACCGAAATCCCAAATCCACAAATATCGATTCTAGCCAACATCCATTGCCAAAATCGATCTCAAAACGTACTTCCAAAAATTGTCAAACAAGGTGCTTCGGTACAGCTCAAGGCTGGCGTCGAATGTCGCAGGTAGACACTCTGCCCCGCACACTCCCTGAGTGGACCATATTTTTGGGCAAACATGCATTAAACATGCAGGTAAGACATCCTCCAACCACGCTATTTCAATCAAATGAAGCCAGGGAACGCAAATTGGGGAGACCGAAGGAGGTTTCGGCTGCATGTTTGGGCCCAAATGGCTTCGCTAGATTTCGCAAGTTCGGACACTCCAAGTGGCACTCTGTCAGGGCCTCTCTTTCAGTTGACATGTTTTTTAAGCCCAAAGTTTCTCGGGCAATTCTTGGCTGATGCGAACAAGCCTTGTGATCATAGAACTCTTTCGTTTCACAAGCATGCTGGTTGCGACCCTTGCTGCCCATCGCCCATCCTGACCGGCCACCACCCCTGGTTTTCAATGATAAAAAATGGTGAACAAACAGCTCCGGGCTCGCGGAAATTTCCATGGTTTGGCGTCGCAGGGATTTTCATCCAAAAGTTAACTACTAAAAAAAGATCCCCGTTGGTACCGACAAAAAGGGTCTAGTCAAGGATCTTTTTTT